GTGGACTGAAATGAATTTCACTCCTTCAAGGTGCAGTTGATATGTGTCGATGAGCAGTGCCTCATCAGAGGAATGGCATTATCCTGATGGTAATCACAATTGCTTCATTTTACAACAATCCTTTGTACCTGAATGTGAACCACCACTATAAATCAGAGTTTGGTTACTGGGTGACAGGAGGCATTTACGCATTGCATAGGTCATGGTTCCATTCTCAGACCCACAAAAATGGACAACACATGTAGATAAAGAACTATAGAATGGTTGCAGCACTGAAGGTGGCTCTACAGCCCATCTTGTCTGTGCCAGCCCTCTACAAATGCAACTCAGCCAATTCCACTCTTGCCCCTTTTCCCTGTAGACTTGTAAATGTTTTCTCTCTAAGTAATTATCCAAAACCCTTTTGAAAGCCCTTATTGAATCTGCCTTCACTAAGCTCTCTTGCCCATTTCTATACCAAGTAAAGGGATAACTAAAAGGGAGAAAGTACCTCTGACTCACTATTATGGAATATATGAACTTATTTGAGGGACACAATTGTGCCCAGTAGTCAAATTCCATTTACATTGTATGCTACCACGCAAAGAAAAAGATTGGTAATAATGAAGCTCAGGGAAATGTATCATGATAAAGAACATCATCACTGAAAATCTAACGTTTGCACAAAAGAGAAAGCTGAGGAGATAAGAGGTTGGCAGTTAAGAGAGACCAGTTCAGTAGATAATATGCAGCTCAATTTGAACATCATACCTCCATTGGGAACTACAGGCCCGTTAGCCTGACACTCAATAGTCGATAAAATGCTGGACAATATTATTAGAACTGTGACAATGGAGGCACTAAACAAATCTTAATACAATTAGGCAACATTGATTAATAAAACAGAATGTTTTTTAACAAATCATTTAAAGTATTTTAAGATTATAACTAGTAGCATACAAACGTTGGAAATCAGTTGATGTATTTGGATTTTCAAATTGCACTCACCAAAGCGCCACACAGGAGGTGATTATACAAAATTAGAGCTCAAGGGACATATTAGCATTTCCTGAAGTATTGGTTAATGTTAAAAAACACAGAGTAGGAAGAAGAAAGAAGTTTGCCTCCCATCTCCCCCCTGTAACTAGTGGGTACCACAAGTATGGTGCTTTGGCCTTAGATATTTATGAAATACATCAATAACTTAGATGACAGGATCAAATGGAATATTTTTAAGGATGCCGATAATACAAAGCTAAGTAGGAAAATAACTGGCAAAGACAATGTAAAGAGGGTTCCAAAAGTTAAGTAACTGCGCAAGAACATGTTGGATGACATAAAATGTGCAGAAATGTGAACCTACCTTCTTACATAAGGAAAATAAAAAAGCTCTATTTTAGAGAGAAACTGGAAAATCTAGTGTTCAGTGGGATCCTCGTACACAAATTACAACATTTCAAAGGTACAGCAAGCAATTAAGAAAGCAGTTACATCATCCTTTATCACAAAGGGACTGAAATACAAGAGTAATGAAGCACAACTGCAACTGTATAGGGCCAAGGTGAGATTTACCTGTAGTATGGTGTACATTTTGGTCTCCTTAACTAAAGAAGATTATGCTTTCCTTGAGAGTGCGCAATTAAAATTCCTAGGATAAATGGATCATTCTACATGAAAATGAGTAGATTAATGCCTGGAGTTTAGATGAATGAGAATGATCACATTAAAACATAAGGAATTCTCAAGAGACTGGCAGGGTTCATGCCAGGAAGATATTTCCTCCGGTTAGAAGTCTAGAGCTATAAGCCACAATCTCAGAATATGGATTTGACCATTTATGACTGAGAAGAGGAGAGATTTCTTCAAATCATCATGAACATCTGAAAAGTGTGGATGGGCAGTCATTAATTACATCCAAGACAAAGATGAAGAATGTTTTCGATTCTCAAGGATGAGGTGGATATTGTAACTCAGCCATTATATTACTGAATGATGAAACAGGTTTGAGATATCCAATGGCTTATTGCTGACCCTGTTTTTAATTCTTTTATTTCTGCATCAGAGTGTTTCAAACGTGGACCTGACCTCTCTTTCACAGTTGAGGAATGACTGCTTGAGACCTCAAGAATAGCTATTTTGCTGAGAGAAGAGTCACTTCGAGTTTCTAGTACCGGTAGGAAACCACCTTAGTCACCCACTGTTTAACATTGTCTTAAGTGGGGAGCAGCTCACACAAGTAGCCGAGCAAGAGGTCAAGCAATTCAGCTAGCACTAAGAGTTGACATAGTGTTAGGAAATAACTACAATATTGGAGGAAAGGGTTTTCTTTCTGCATTTCGCTGGCTGTTGCAATGGGAAGTAAAAATGACAACTTTGAAGACTGGTAACAATCCTTTAGCATATTTTAAAAACAAATCTTATAATTACTTCCTTCAGCAATTAGGCAAATATCTTCACTGAATTGACATACACAACACTCATACCGCCAAAGCATAAAATAAATCTTCTGCACCCCGTAGTAGGGGCAACACTAGTTAATATTATTTAAATCATTCACATCTGAAGCCAATGCGTCTGTCTGGATAGTTGAGCCTGATGCTTCTTGGGAGTCAGTCTCTAATCACATCTGGTTTAGCTTTAGACTTTCACTGATATTTTGCCAGCAGCCACAACCTTTAATAGCTGCAATAAATTAAAATGACTGTCAAATGTGAAAATAGTACACTAAATGAAACTCAATTCTGGGTACAATTTAAGATTTTTTACTGAATATGACATGTATACAAATAGGTTTAATTTTACCAATTTAAAAGTCTTGCAGTTTTGTAACCTATTTTGATGTTGGGTTTCACAGAATGCTGTCCATTTTCAAATCAGAACAGATTAAATTAAATAAAAGGTTTTAAACACATGTACCTAAAAGCTGAAGTATCTTATCAATAAGACCCATTTATCTTTTTAATTTATAATTTAGTTGTGGATGTTGCATACACGTAGGTCCAAGGGACACAGTAGCTACACGTATTGTTGAAAACATGCTGGCAGGGGAGACGAGATCAAACACAGATCATGTTTCTGCACAAGCTACCAATAGAGAGGGCAGGGCAAGGGTTCTATGGGAGCCAAGGGATGAGGGAAGATAAGAACACTCCTGTGACCTTCAGTTGAACAAACAACAACTGATGCTTTCCACTACAGTGTTTGGGGTCAACAAAAATGTTTATCGACTGTTTTAGTTTTGTTCCATATATCATTTTACAAATTTATTCTCAAAGGCATACAGCAGAATTCTGGTAAAGACTTCAACTTAACAGAGCACACATATTTTTAAGTCTGCTAGGCATTCAGCCTAAACCCTTTCTTCGAGAAGCTTTCAAATGTTACTTCAAAACATAATTGACAAAAGAAGTTCCAATATTATTGTTTTTCAACATTACTTTTACAATTACTTGGGTAAAATATGTAGGCACTTTACTTTTTTTAATTATAAAGATTATTTATTGAGTTGCAGCATCATGATATCAAACCATATTCAAAATAGCATCTACTCCTGCATTGGATTTGCTCACTTCAATTTATACCTAATTTCAGCTCTAATTGATTAGCGTACCCTGAATGTAAAAATTGTAATAAACAAACAAAAATCAGTGCAAACAACCAAAGCCTGAGGGAAGGGCTGGACTCAATATATTTTCTTCTTTAATAATGAAAATTAAAGTTAAAACCAACTAACAATCATTCATTGGCATTCTTTTGGTGAGTTTGTTAAGATGAGCGTCTGAATATTGATGAGGCAAAGGATGGCATTAACAAGGTAAGTAACAAACAATGATGAGTGTCAATTGGCATTTCGTCACTGCCTCAAAAGAATCTTGCTACACTATTTGTGAAAAAGCATAAGATTGAGTGAATTGACATTGAAATGGGCTTCACCACACATGTAACTCAATTTTGCCACGCATCTTATTTTAGCTCACATCGCACAGACTTCCTGTAAAGTTCACCCAACAATTTTTGATCTTTAGAACTTATTTTGGTAGTTTAGCGGATTTATGACTTTTTTGGTGCTTCTGGCATGTTGAGCGTACGTCCTTGTGCACAAAGTAATTCTTCTGTCTTATACGTCCTTGTGCACAAAGTAATTCTTCTGTCTTATAGCTGCTGGCTTACTTTCTGAGTACTCGCTCACTTCAAGCTTATTGGAGACTGTCAGTGTCTCTGGCTTGTATCCTTCTGGTCAGTATTGATGTAGCAGGGTGTAAAGCTTTCCTTCCTGGGCCATGCCTTTGGTAATAATAGTAGGGCATCACAGTGTGAGGGGCACTTCTTAGCTTGTAGCTGTGGAGCTGGGATCTAAACAAGGCGCCTGTGTTGAGAACACTACAAAGTTCTGGTAATGACAAGCATTTGCACCTCTCCTGTCATACAACTCCCACAAGGATGGGTGCCAAAGAGGTCAGTTGCCTAACTACTAGGATGAAGAGTGGATGATTGCATGCAAAAGGGTGTCATTACGGGCTAGGTGCCAAGATCTCACTCAGCAAAACACTTCACCAAAATAAAAGGGAAAATTCAGCCCACAGAAACAGAAAATGCAATGCAGGTCTTATCTTTACAAAAGCAAAATCTTAAGAATTGCTATAAACATGATTATATTTCCTCTGGCACCCAAGTGCTAGTCATAATTTGAAATTCAATTTGAAGCTGCATTGGCAGAATTGATCATGTACAGCTCTTTATCATGGGAAGGAAGCCATTATTCTGTTTCAGTGCTGATAGAAAGAGGTGGGTTTAAAGTGTTGAGAACATTGAAGCATGGCATAATGATACGTGGGATTCACTTAATCTCAGCTTTGCTCAATTTTTATGTTGGCTAATTGCTTTATTCCTCCGTTACTCAATTTCCTGAATACACTACACAGCAACCTCTACCCCACATAAGCACCATGGTTAATCAATTCATTTTCTTATTACAAAACTTGGAAACATCTAACGTTTTACATGTTGAAAAGCTGCAATACCTTCCAGGTCTTTTTTCAACTTCCTAAGATCCTTAGTGAGATCCTCAAATTTAACTTGTGAGGCTCGCAGCAACTCCTGGGGTTCTGGTAAAGGATATACACTCCTGTCTGTTCCTGCATCCTGTTAAGCAATGAGAAAAGAATTGTTAATATTTATCATGGAACCCTTACAGTGCGGAAAGAGGCTGTTTGGCCCACCAAATCTGCATCAATGCTCCAAAGACTATCCCAGCCAGAACCAGACCCTTACCCTATCCCCGTAACCCCCACATTTACCATGGCTAATCTACCTAGATGGACACCTGGTCACTGCGGATCATTTGGCACGGCCAATCCATCTCGCCTGCAAATCTTTGGATAGTGGGCGAAAAACCGGAGCACCCAGCGGAAACCAACGTAGACATGAGGAGAACATGCAAACTCCAGAAGACTGGAATTGAACCCAAGTCTCTGACACTGTGAGGCACCAGGTGTAATTTAATGTAATAAGAAAGCAAAAATACAGAGGTGTAATTTTCCTCGCCTCCCAACATCTAATTAATGGTCAGGAATACGTTTGTGGTGTGACGGATTTTCCAGAAGGTGGAACTATTACAGTGGGAACATGGTGGCACTTAATTTTAATATTCAGTTGTGGTTGCTGTCAATCTTGGCACATCACTTCACATAATTTTGGTGTTCAATGTTCCTGGGAAAGAACCATCAATTTGAAATTCGCGGTGGATACTATTTAACATATGACAAGGATACTGAACTGTAAAGTTGTATGCTTTAAGCATTTCTTAACCAATATTGTTCTTCCCCAACCCTTCTCTGGTCAGCAGCAATGATCGTACCAACTGATGGAAATAATTTATTTTCTTTGTGGCATCTATGGATTTCCTAAGGAGCACCCCCTCCATGATAAGTCTGATATATCAATGGAAGTACGCTAGGCAGGGCAGGCAGCATAAAGAGATCAATCAATACCTAAGCACCCACATCCATTGGCAGAAGTGAAAATATCTCCCTTTCCTATAAAATGAGTACTAATGGAAATTCACTTCTCAAATGATGCAGGAACAGAAGACTCAGTAACTTGATCCGTGAATGCCAACTAGAATATTAGCTGTTTCCTCAGAAGCATACCAAACCAACATGATATCAGTATCAGTAGGTACTAAAGGCATCACTACAGGGTGCCTAAGAGTCAGCACTGTCCAATTAGCCATGGTTGGTCAAATCCACAGCCTCAAAGCAATCGGTTGGCAAACCAGACTGCACCAGTCCTGGCCTGCAGACTCTTATTGACACCTCAATTTTCCTGTGCTTTAACTTTCTCTTGATATCTCGTACCTTTGCGATGATGATGAGTTGAAACACCGTTAGGATCTCTACAAAAACTTTAACATTTGCTGGACTCCTTTTAACACACTCTCCTTCTAAATGTGAAACATCTGGAGTTTTCCTGCCTCACTACTAGCACAATCTATTCAAACATGCAACTGATATAATGCCAGAGTTAACACAGAGATTTGTTGATAAATATCCAGTTTCATTTAAGTCAGTCATAGCAACAATTACATTGCAACAAAGAAATAGGAAAATTTCAGCTCTGAATGCTTCAATAAAACTCACTCAAAACAATTCAAATCTGTTTCCCAATTATCATTGAAGCAATGTACCTGAAACCCTCTCCAATTGTAGAAGTGCTTTTTTTTTAATAAGTATCAAATTAACTCGATGTTATTACATCAAACTAATTTGATACTTATTTTAAAAAACACTTCTATTGAAGGCTTTACTAATTCATACACTTTTTCAGAAAACATTGATTAAATAAGAAAACAAACTAGGAAGTAACAGTTGTATTCAATAGGAAGTTAATTGGAATAATTACTTCACTTCAGGTATATTACATTAAATTAGAAAATCTGTTTGACAAAAGCTCAAAGAAAGATCAAACAATTACCTTGTCAAAATGATGCAAATAATAGGATGCAACAAAATCCACAAGACTAATTCGATTGTCCTAAAACAGTAAATAGAGACAAGTGTTGTAAAGTAACACTGAAAATTATACGCAAAACAAAACAGTTGATTTTTCTTGTAATTTTCTAATGTTTATTAGATGACCATGAAAGGTACAGTATTTTTTTGTTGAGTTATCAAAGAGCATATAGCTTTTTATTTAAACAGCCCACTATTGGTATAATCATTTTCTTTCAAGTTTTAATTACGAGTCTTCACTTCTCACTTTACAAAATACAAACTATTCTCATAAAAACCAAAAGACTTTTGTAGAAAATTTGCAACTAAGAACATAAATCATTTACCTGAAATTCCTGTCTTAAGATTCAGCAAAGAAATTAACAGCTCCCAAAAACATTGTGGTATGCCATGGAACTCTGCTGGGGACTCCACTAAATTCATAAAGCAAGGAGAGGCCCTTCATTCAAAAGCCTTGGGTGTGTTTGGACATTTGCCCTTCCTTGATCCCACCTAACGACAGGCCATCAGCAGGAATAACCTGGTTTGATGTGGAGCTGAGCGTGCGGGAGGGTGTTGCATCGCACTTACCACGTCTCAGATACAATTCAGGCTTCCTTACAAAATAAAGAATACAGCAACATTTTTAAGGAGCCAGGCTGCGTCACAAGCCCAGAGTCTCTCATGTTGGCTTCACAATCAGTGGGGGGATTCTCACATGCCACAAATAATTGAGTACCTGCGCTGACCATATGTCAAACCCTAAAGAAAAGCTTAAGATATATGAACTTCTATATTCATCGCCTACTTGTGCCCTAACTTTAGTCCCTTAGGTTAATGACTTCGTAAAGTTCTTCCCTCTCAACAATATCCCAAACGTTTGGAGGCAAAGGCAGGGTCTGTCTTATCAAACTTCAAGTCAAATATTTAGCTGTTTTATAGACTCCTGCCAAAGTTACAAGTGAGTCCATAGGTGCAGCTGAGAAAATCTGGAAGCGGCCTTTCTAAAATAAATTGCTTAACACCAGTATTTAAAACAGCAATTTCAGAACAACAGATTAAGCATTTATCCTTTCATGAACTCCTCCTTCTCATCTAAAAATCAAGCAATTTAGGACAGAGGACCTTTACTATCCAGTCTGTTGCAATTTAAATGGAAAATAATGAAGAAAGTATTGTGAAATATTAAAAGATCAAAAACGCTGGTCGACCCAATAAAAAACCTAAATACTCGGAGAAAAATGCTCCAAAACCTAACTGTATGCAAAAGAGATTTTGTAAAAACGTTGCAACATCAAAGAAACAAAAGTCCCTGTGCATCAGCAAGTCAGATTTCAGGATCACCATTTTATCCAAGTTCAGTGCTCACGAAAAGGGCAGAAACTCAAAACCGTGTAGTTCAGTAAGAAAGACAGCTTGAAATAAATGAGGATTACACTTGCCTGAATTCCACCTTCCACTATTCCAAAACACTGCAAACTTACAAAGAGCAGCATACCACAATCTAGGACACAACATTATGTGATAAC